GGAAACTGGGTAGGTGGAATTGAGTTATATAATTTGATGAATAGTATTTGGAGGAAAGAGAACTTTCTTATGCTATGTACTGAGTCTAGTGGTAAGAACAATTAGGGCCTAAGGCAGAAAGTGAGTGAGCCTTAGCACTTCCTCCTGCGAATGCTTCGGTTTCCTCACCAATTATATGTGGAACTGTTGCACGCTACTTAAAACTAGCCAGTAGTCTACACGGCTTGAAGCATCAGCATGGAAGCTGACACAGAAAGTATACCATAGGATTTAAATGAATGAAGGCATATCATCTAAACTGCAGCTAATCTTATATATTTGGCCTTTTCTTTCCTTAAGAACCATGTATAGTGTGTATTTTTTCCCCTTAAGAATGGTCTATCTTGCCTCCCCAAATTTTAAATATTAACATCTTAACTATGACATTTTAGAGCTCCTGATTTTATTTTAACATCACACATAGAAGTTAGATACTAATATTTTATCATATGTCATCACATATGGAAGTGTAATAGACCCACAGTGCTTCAGAGCTGCTGAGTCCAATGCCTCATTTTGTAGTCAAGGAAAGTGAGACTTAAGTAGACTAATTCACCTGCCCCAAACGGTCCACTTCGGTTATAGCAGAACTAAGCAAGGAATCCATAGTCCGCTAACCTCCATCACAACATGTGCTTAGTATAATCTGCCTGCAGCATGATGCAACATGATGAAATCATGCTTTCCCTCACTTCTTATAACCCTGAGTTGTAGAAAACTTAGCTGGCTCACAAGTGCTGCACAGGAGCCAGCACCTTGCTCCTACTTTTGCTACCACTCTTTGCTGGTAAACCAGCTTTGATTACAAGTAACATGCTGATTATTTTATTATTGGACTAGTGCTTTATCTGTGCTGTTTGGAAAACATTCTTAGAAAATTAAGATATTCTTAATTTGAAAAGTGACTATTGATGTGTCCAGTTACTACATTTCATATGTTTTTTTAATGGAGAAGTTTAGTAGGTACATTCTGTACTGTGAATATGTATTTAGCTCGTTGAGTATAACAGTTCAAATAGAATCATTTACAGCTTATTTAGTAAATAAAAGTGCTACCATAAAGATTCACATAACACCTAGCTCTTATTTCATGTAACTAAATTTTTTTTGAAAAATTGCCTAAATGTAGATTTATATGAGACTACCAGAGCATCTAAGCAGTTTATAAAGAAGTTTAAATGGTCATGGGCACCACAGACTTAAAGTATAGGAGCAGGTGATGAATAGTAATGTTTACTGAGCTCCAATACAAAGTTATTTGCCTTTTATCTCTGTGTTATATTAAAAAAGCATTATGATAGATTTTGGGGTATTATTTGTAAAAAAGAATACTTAGTATTTACTTGTTATTTAAACATCACATTGTCAGATCAAAATTCCACTAGAGTCTTTGCTGTTTTTTTAAGTTAAGTGACTTAAAATCAGGTTTTATCCCATTTCATGAAAAAAATATTTTCTAGCCCTACAGCAAATAATCCTAGTAGCAAAACCAGTCATTTGTTTTCATTTACACAGATACAAGCCTGCTTATTTGCTGGAGGGTATGCTTTTGAGGGTAAAACTTTAAGAAAAGTCATATCCACTTCTCTCCTTCCTTCCCTTCCCACTTTCCCTTCCTCCTTCTCTCTCTCCCTCCCTCCTATCTCTCTTCCCCATCCATCCTTCCTTCCATCCGTCTCCCCCTTTCTTTCTCTGAAGACTTTTCAGTTATTTTCTGACAGGAGGTCAGAAGATAATGTGTAAAAGATGAGGCTGATGTGCAGCACTGGAGAAACCCAAAACCACATTGTCAAGGTTATTTAGTCAAAAATGTTCTATTAGCTAAAAGTGTGTTTTCACACATTTGGTAGAAAATGGACACATCAAAAGAGGGGTAAGAAAAGGCAAAAAAAGGAGCCTTTTGTAGAGTGCTAGACCCGCAGAATCTTAGAGAATGGAGTACCCAGACTTCTTTCCTGAAGGACTGTCCTGCCTTCTTAAGTTATCAGATGCTGTGTTGATGGATTTACAAGAATGAAAAGGGAACCCTCAACTACAATATATTTCAGGAAGCTACACATCTCTCTAATATTGACAAAACAGGAGTCTTTGTCAGTTTGGTGCAGTTATCCTTCTCCTGTATAGAACATCAAGGAAAAAAAAATGTCCTGGAAGATGCCAGACCCAGGAGGTTGTCAGATATTTGGTAGGATTCCACACAGCCTCTCTTTTCATACATGGCTTTCTTAGACCAGAATTGAAATGCAAAGATGTAAAAACATCATCAAAAAACTAAAAATGATATTACCATATGATCCAGCAATGCACTTCTGGATATTTACCCACAAAATTCGAAACCAGTCTGTTGAAAGGACGTTTGCATGTCATGTTCATTGCAGTACTGTTCAGAGTCAGGTTCTGGAGTTAACCCAGGTGTCCATCAACAGAGGAACAGACAGAAACGAGACATTGTGGAGTGTGTCCACAGTGGAAAACTATTTGGACTTTTACAAAGGACAGCATTGATAGAGCACAGCACTGTGCCATGTGAACAAGCCAAACCAGAAGGAAAGAGCCTCATTCTCTCACTCACATGTGAAGAACCCACTGAGCTCATAGAAGCTGACAGTGGAGTGGTTACCTTCGGGGTGAGCAGGAACGGACTGGAGAGAATAATCAAAGGGCACAAAGCCTCAGTTGGCAGAGAGGATTAAGTAATTTTTTTTAATCTATTGCAGTGGTGAGTATAACTAAAAACTGAGTACTGTAAATTTGCCATTGCTAATAAAGTACAAAGATTCTCAAATCAAAACCTCAAATACTGGAGATGATGGGTTGGTTCTGTGGTACGATATACTCACTCCACGTTGTATTAAAGATCACACTATCACTTTGTGTACCCAATCATTACATACAACTGTAATTAATCAACACACAAAAGTATGCAAAAACAAAATGCTGAATCCTTGCCCAACAGTTTGGAATACCATTACCATAAGGAAGTTTCCAAAGAAGAATGTCAAGCACCCCATGCTCTGCTGTTTCAGTGACCCCTGACCTCTAGTTTGGCAGAAGCTAGGACATGGCCTATAGTACCGACAGCAGGAAACCCAATTGGGCAGTGATACTGCTGACTCAGACACACAACTGGATAAAGCTTTGAATGTGGTTCTAGTGGCAGAGACGTGTAGGAGGTGCCCTGCTGCCTCTGGTGTGATGGGCCTGCCTCTGCTTGGTTCTGAGACAGGTTCAGGCCCAGAATTAAGGCTCTGAAGCAAACCCTCAGAACATGCCAGTGCATGACTGCAGCCTTTTTTTTTTTTCTTCCACACAGATATATAAGCCCTGTGCCTCAGAGAGCTATCCAAGGTGCCGTTTTAGGTTTTTTTTTTTTTTTTTTTTTTTTTGACTCACAGCATAAAAAAGGGATGATTTCCATCAGCTATCTGCTTGCAGTGGAGTATCAAGAAATCAAAAGAACAGAGATCAAAGAAAATTGCTGAACTAGGTGTTAGATGCAGACATCGATTTTCTCCAGTTGTACTTTTAAAAAAATCTACAAAAATGGTAACACATACAGCAGCTGAATTTCTAATACTTTCCTAAAGCCAGCAGTGGTTTCCTCCATATTTCCACATGTAGAAATAGTTTTGTATGACATAATGGAGCAGACCCTGATGCCTTATTTTGATACCCAAACTGAAAGAGAATCCACAAAAAAGGTGTTTTTTAAAAGTCTGTAAAGTAGAATATGTTTTTTTACTGGAGATACTTGTACATAGATACTATAACATAACTAATTTGTTATCTCAGCAACATTTATTTGCTTGGGAAGCTGGAAAATTCTGATAATTGATCATAATTTTCTACTATCTTTAAATGTTATAAAATAGTATCTGCTTTGCTGCTAAGAATTCATTCACATTAAATATTAACTGCCAATTACTGGTGCTTGAGGCTTAAATTGTAGCTTTATCAAAATGTTCAATTTGTTTTCAAGTACTTCAGGAGTATGTGGCATTTCTGAAGTTTGTTTTAAATATATATGAGAAATTGCTTTCATATTTTATTGTCTTATATTGATCAATGATTTCCAAATAATTAAAATAGTTTTAATCAGAACAAGGTTATGACATTAATATATGTATAGACCAAAAGTACTCATTAGAATTTTATATTTCATTATATTATTTTCTGTAAGTCACTGGGTTGACTGACTTTGTGTTAAATTTGTCAATTAAATCATTAAAAAATAATTTAAAAGCAAAGACCCATAGTTTATTTTCTAAGTAGCCTAATCATCCATTGTGATGGCTAATCTTGGTTGTCAGTCTGATACACTGGGAAGAGGGAATCTCAGTTGAAGAATTTCCTCCATCAGACTGGCCGGTGGGCCATCACTAGGCAGTTGGGCCTCGGCTGAACATGATGAGAGTGAGCCAGCAAGCAGCTTTCCTTCACTGGTTTCTGCTCCAAGCTCCTGCTCTGAGCTCCTTCCCTGGCTTCTCTTGATAGTGGACTATAACTTATAAGCTAAAATAAACCTTTTCCTCCCCAAGTTGCTTTTGGTTATAGTGTTTTGTCACAATAGTAGGAGGCAAAGCAGGGCACCCATTACAGCACATCATTATAAGCATAATCAGACAAATTAGGGATTTGTTTCTATAAATTGCCAAAGAACTGAAGCTGGAGTGAAAAAAAATACCTGATTGCATCGATTCCTTGATACAATACCTTCAGGAAAAGTTTTGTGCAAAGTTCTGGTGTTTCTTCTGTTGTCTTGAAAAGCTTATGATATACAAGTAGATTCAGTTATACTTCGAAAATAATTTCATTTTTCTATAGTTTCGTGTAGACTATTTAAATGGCCATCTCCATCCCACTTTCTATTAGACATTGCCAACTTGCTTGTTTGTGGTTTTAGATTTTATTCAAGAGTTTTCACTCAATTTTTCTGTTCTTTCTTTCTTTTGCATTCACAGGCAGGATCACGAGTCCACTTCAATCTCTCCATTCCTTCAAGAGCTGCTCTTCCTGATGACACAATTGGCATTGGGGATTTTCTGCCAGTGCAACCAGAACTTGATACAACTTACACTTTCTTAAAGGAGACATTTAAAAACACAGCACCCCATTCTCTAACGTCATCTCACTCCTCTCCGGTGATAGCCACTAATGCCAAAAGACCGTCTCAAATTGGATTATGACTTTATGAAATAAAAAATGGAGGAAGAGTTAATGATACAATTAAAATTGTTCGGAAGGGGAATTTTCTTTTTTTTCTTACATTTGAGTTTGTTTCCGTGCAAACGGGTGGGCTTTTTAACATTGTGTGCTATCTTGATGTGTGCAGGTATCTCTATCTCCTTGAATAATGAAAGAACCTACTTTTTCTCTCTAAGTTTTATTTATTATCACAGTTGCTCATTTTTATGTAACATATTTTTAAATGTTAAAGAATGACACATTTTAGGTAATTTCCCTCAGACTTAAAAAAATCAATAAGCCATTTTAGTCTCTATCTATCAAAGTTGTTTCATACTTGTCTATTTTAAAGCAGGACTGCAATACTTTAATAGGATTGAGAGAGCTATTTGAAATGTATGCCAATGATTCCTGTCATTTCATGGCAGCCCTGCCATGGTTCACTGAGCCCCTCTTCTCTCTTGTCAGCTCCACTGAAGACAAGCATTTAGTTGCAAACTTTAAGCAGGTTGTGCAAAACAGAAATGATGTGACTGCTTCTCTCCTGCACAATAATGTCACTCCTGGTCAATGTGAGAAGGTCAGGTTGCTCCTTGTAAAGCTACATGATACCACTTGCCCATTTGAACAAGTTAACTGCTGAATCTGGTCCCTGTAGGCATTGAAAACTCGTCCTTTTATCAAGTCTGCATTTGATAGGAAAGTAGAGCACTGTGCTGAGAGGATTTCTGTGGTACATTTAGGCACTTTATAAGGACAGTTCCCATACCTGTACAGCAGGTAATATATTTAGTGTAAGCTGAAAAACTTCAAGGTAATGGCTGTTTTGACCTTCAGAATAGACTTCTTTTTTGTTTTTGTTGTTGGTAAGACCCAAGAGTGACGCCCATCTTTGATGCTGACAGAATTTAAAACAAAGCCATTGCCCTGTATTTTCTGCCTTGTAGCACACAAAAGTAAAATTGTATGTCAGGCCGAGATGTCGGGGAGCTGACAAGATGCCCCAGTGACATTTCAGCTAGAAAGAGCAAGTGTCTTGCAACCAAGTGGTCAAATATCAAATAATAGGTCAAGCAGGAAGGAGCTGAGTTCTAACCACAAAGAGGTTTCTGGTAGCTTACTTGACAAGCTTTTGGGTGCTTTGTGGCTTGACAAAGTGATGTTCTGTTGGGTATCGCTGGACAGAAGATCAGACATTGACACTGATTAAACTCTTTAACCCTTAAAGGTTAAACCCTTGCAGTTTGCATCATGGTAAGTAAAAAACAAAAGAATATTTGTAATATGTGGTTGTTTTTGTATTCGTCATTTAACTCCCAGTGACATTAACTTCTAATGTGAACTGTAGTTTTGGACAAAGAATTTTGATACAAAAATCTATATTTTATATTACCTTTCATCATAGAATTTTTCATTATGGATTCATTAGAAAATAACAGTGTGTATTGTTTAAATGATATTGTGTTTTGTGACATTTGGCCTTGGTAAATAAAATCTGTATGCTGTTTCCTGTGCCAGCCAGTTACCCCAGTGGTTTATGCCCTGTGAGGCGACACAGCACTATCGCTGTCATGCTGCATCATTCCAGTTCTTAGAACACAGAGCCAATATGATTAGCTTTGTGTAAAGCTCTAGAAATCTTCATATGAGAAGTAAAATTCTAATTTTAACCAAATTGGTCTTAATTCTTTCCTTGAGATTCTTAATGTACTCTGTGTAAAATACAACTTGCACATTTATGGTAGCACAGAATGTGCTATTGTTTTTGTGAAGGTCCCAGAATAATCTCTGCACATTTCGAAACACTTTGCTCTGCCTTCCTGCAATGAGGATATCCCGCACATGGAAATCGGCGTATACATTCTTAGTGTACTTGGTATCACTGGGCTTTCAGTTCTTACCTGTAGGGAAGAATCATCTCTCCATGTAACGTATGGGTCTGCATCTGTGTGTATATGTTTGTATCGAATCTACTTTTAGATCTTAGCAAGTTAAGAGGAATACGTGCATTTGTAAAATGTACCTTGGATGGGCTTTGCTCTGCTTACCTTAATTTTGCAATGTTAATGGGGAAACGTGAAAAATAAAAAGTGTATATTTCTGGGTGTAGGTGCATATCTGATCTTACAGATGGATTAGACACAGTGAATTCTGAGTTATAAATTCAAAAGGATTATTAAATCAAATTGAGGCATGTCACATTTATAAGCAACTAGATGCTAAAGGCCATGTGAACTGAAGGATGGGCCTCCTGAGCGATCATTAGTATTCACTACCAAATACAGTAATATTTATACCATATGCTTTTCTCCCAGAAGTCAGACCCAGCAGGAGGAGAAGATTTAATGACATGTCCTATGGAGATCTGAGGAATCCTAGACTGCCTCTGCGCACCTTAGTGACCAATTGCTGCATATTTGAGATCTGTGTTTCGATGGCAAGGACAGTTCTATCAGCTTCTTGCCTCTTTAGCAGTGATATATTGACTAGACCTCTGTCAGGAGGATTACTTCAAATATTTTTGTAAGGAAAGGAAGTTTTGCTTTACACTTCAGTATGTGGATTTTCTACTGACCTTCTATGACCTAGAAAAATACCTGCATGGCCTCTCACCATCAAAGGGATTTTGAAAGCTGTTGTTCTGACCCCTTAACCATGCTTACGTACTGAGGTTTGCCAGCATTTTAGTATACATGCTTTAGAATGTCATAACACAAACAGTAAAAAGACAAGAAATGCCAATTCAGTGATAATTTACATAAGTAAATAACCTTTTAACCAATAAAATGATCACTTTGTTTTACCAAATGTCTACCTCTTACTAAAGTTAGCAAGTCTGCTTCTCACTTCACATTTATAATATCTGCTATTCATATTTCATAACATTCATAATATGTACTATTAGTGATTTGTTAATGCCATTATTACCATTTCATACTACTTTATTCACCAAAGGATCTGAATCCATTCTGTGGACCATCTAAACAGTGGTGAATTGATCCTATTTCACTATACAGGTTTTATAGGCAAGTTGTCTTAACCAGTTAGCAATACTTTTGAAAAGTACGGTTTTGTTTGAAATTCAGTGTGTGTGTGTGTGTGTGTGTGTGTGTGTGTGTGTGTGTACATGTGGATGTAGTGTACTTGTGTGAGTGCAGTGTGCAGGTTAGCCTAAGGTATCATTCTTTAGGAGCTGTACACCTTTTTTTCCTTTTCTTTTCTTTTCTTTTCTTTTCTTTTCTGAGACAGGGTCTTCCTGAAGCTCCTGCTGGCCTAGCCTGGAACTAGCTGTGTAGACCAGGCTGACTGCTACCTCACAGAGATCTGTTTCCCAAGTACTGGGATTAAAGGCATGCACCATTACACCTGGCAAATTTTTTGAATTATTTATTTTTTATTTTTATTTATTTATTTTTTTTGGTCTTTTTGAGACAGGGTTTCTCTGTAGCCTCAGCTGTCCTGGAACTCACTATGTAGACCAGGCTGGCCTCAAACTCACAAAGATCTGCCTGCCTCTGCCTCCCAAATGCTGGGATTAAAGGTGTGCACCACCATGCCCAGTGAATTATTTATTTTTTAATTTTATGTGCATGAGTTTTTTGCCTGCATGTGAGTGCACTACATGTTTACAATTCTGTGGAGGTCAGAAGAGGGTGTTGGATCCCCTGGAACTGGAATTATAGACATCTGTTAGCTGCCATATGGGTGCTGGGAACTCAACCTGGGTTTTCTGTAAGAGCAGCCAATGCTCTTAACCACTAAGCCATCTCTCCAGCTCGTTTTATTCTTAATAAGGCTTTTCACCAGAACCCGAGGTTTGCTGATTAGGGTATGGCTGGCTGGCCATTGAACCCAGAGATCCTCCTGTCTCTACTTCCTAGCTCTGGGATTACAAGCATGGGCCACCGTGCTTGACCTTGTACATGGGTGCCGGGGCTCAAACTCAGATCTTCTTGCTTTCGTGGGAAGTACTACCAACTGAACTATCTCCCCAGCCCCCAGATTTCTTGACCATGACTTAGATACAACCATAAATATTAATTAATATAGTGTATGTGTATCTAGTAACTGAGAGAATAGGGAGGCTTGTACCTATCTTTGAAGGGAACTCACACCTCCACTTTGTTGTCTCTAGCCTGGCCTAGGAGACCATGTAGAAACTGTCAGCAATAGACCCCTTAGAAGATCCTGGTAGCTAGGATCCATTCCATTTCATTACTATGGAAAATAATGATATGCTGAGTGCATCAGATCAAATAAGAGTTTGCTGTTTAACCTACAGGATAAATATTTAACTTTTTTTCTAGTAGACTGGCCCCAAAAGATAACCCTTTCCTAATCCCTGAAACCTGGGGCTGTTACGTTATATGGCAAAAGAATGTGGAAATTATTCTGGATTTTTCTGGATAGGACCCAAGTGCAAAAAAGTACCTTAAGAAGGGGGAGGCCGAGACAGGTTTACTACAGAGAAGTGGATGCAATGTGATGATGGATGCAGAGCCTGGGTGGAGATGCTTTGAAGGCGGGGAAAGGCCAGGCCTAAGGAATCCAGTCTGCTGTTAGAAACTGAAAAACGCAAGGAAAAGGGTCCCCTTGGAGGCTCCAGAGCTGCAAGGGAATAAATTTGTGTTGTTAAGCCTAAGTGTGTGGTAACTCATTACAGCTTCCCTGGGAAGGTAATGAAACCAGTAAAATTTCCAGTTTTAAAAAGATCTATACATTAATTCATATTAGCAAAAGGAAACATAATTATTTTGTTGTAATCGTCCTGATCAGCTGTTTTTATAAATGACACCCCAATTTGCTTTTAGGCTTTCATTTTCTATGCCTAGTGTCTTACTAGAATGAACAATGACCGTCTGTTCTGGGTCACCATATGGTCGCACTCTCTTGCCGTCATTTTTGGTAATTCCTCAGTTCACCTATAATTTGAACATGCATTTGAATGTCTGTAGTTTCATAAAGCCATCGCGCTTTCAATGTATTTATCTTAAAGATCTATTTTAAATTATTTATTATTTCTTATTCACCTGATCTAATTTTGATGGCATTTTTTTATAGCTTTCTTAGAAAAGAAATTCTATTTTGAAAGAATTTATGCTAATCTTTGCTTAACATAAAGATTTGGCGTCTCCATGTCCTCTTGCTGTGGCCAGTGCTTACTTCCCTTACTATTTGCCCTGAGTATGGACACATCTCATCACTTACCAAAGCATTTGTTATAAATGAAGTTACTGAATTTTAATTACTTCCTTCAATGATGATATTTTCTAAAATTTTTCATACTATAACACTTGACACCTTTTTCCCTAGCTTCAGCAAAGTCATACAGGTTTTTTTTTTTTTTAATTTCTAGTTTGGTTTAGGGAGACAAAGGAAAGCAATTTTAACAAAAATGATTGCACTCAAAATCATGAGACCTAAAATTTTGAAGAGCCAAAGATAAAGTATTAAATATTTCAGATATAGAAAAATAAAAAGAGAGAAATAAAAATACAGGCCTCTGGTTCTCTAAAGCAGGTCCCGCCCTCCTGATTCAGACATGCGTGTGGAAATCAACATGTTGGTAAGAGAGCACCATCTTTCCTCTTGAACTCAGCGATTTTCCTACCCAGCCCTTTTCTGGCTGCGGAATGTGTTGCGCAACACTGCAAATTCACACTGTGGATGCCTGCATACTTTTTGAACCACTTCTGCATGATCTCTTATACTTGTTTTAAACAAATTTGACCCCAAAGGTCTCCTAGACCATGTCTTATGTGCAAGTTACATTTCCATGGGCAATGCAATGGAAAATTTGTTCTTAATCTTCATAGCACTAATACCTAATTGATACTGTGTACTATGAGTTATGAAATTTCTGGATACTGTTTAGGAAGGAGGTAGTTTCTCTTTTCAGTCATCTTGTATGTGAATGTGTTAGATCCTTAGAAATATGTTTTCAAAGCACTGGCCTTAATGTTAGTCATAGAGCAGAGGCCCACATAAGGCAAAAACTACTGGGTTTATATTCTATGGAGGTAGTCAGTCTGTGATTTAATGAAGTCATGCTTCGTTGTCTTTTACTGTGTGTCGTGCTAGTGGAGTGTTGCTGTGGACAATGAAATAGCCTTAGCAATGTTATGCTGCTATAGCAAACTATACGAACGAAAGCCTATCTGAAGAAGACTCATCTGACAGGGTAAGGAGCTATTAGATAGTCTAAATATTCGCCAATGGCAAGAGTACAAGGTGAGCTGTCTGTCTTCAATAGATCCTTTCTGTGTTCTGGGTACAACGTAGGTGAAAATCTGGAATGTGCTGCAAAGTGAATGGAATGACATTGGGTATTCAGAAAAAGAACCGTGGAAGAAACAAACACGGACATCAGGAAGTCATACTTTTGGCCTTTTTTCTTCAATCAGAAAAATAAGTTTATTTTTCTAAGCTCACTTCTGGCCTAAAAGCCAGCAAAACTGTCCCTGGAAACCTTCCAAAT